GGCCCTGTCTGTATCCACCTATATAAGGACACGAGAAACCTCCCATTAAAGTCAATGGAAAAACTCCCATTAACTACAGTACCACTTAGATCAGCATCTATAGATGAAGCAAAAGTAACTCACAGGACTTTTGATTATATTCTTAGAATGCTTTTTGATGCCTGATTCTGTTAATTGGCTTGTGCACCCTAAAGTCTGAAACTGTGCACATTTTATGTAAGAGTCACAGAGTCAAACCCCAGTTTACCATTTGAGACAATGACAAACTTCTCATTGGCTCCAGTGGCAGCAGAATTGGGCTCTGTGTTTTTGTAACATAAACCAAGACCCCACTACCCAGGTTAGCGTATTATGTGGAATTGTGTGTGTACCACGATGGAAGCCTATACATTCGCAAAGAATATGTATTCATACGGGATCGCTTTTGACAAACAGGACAACCAGCATAACAGAAAATTACTGTCTTTGTATTTATTGGTGCAGAAAAAAGGCAAAGGGATCAGATATCTTGAGAGAAACATGTTGATACAGTACACCACAGTCCCATTGAATAAAACCAGTTAACCGCACTGGATGATGTCTTTGTGTTTATTATTATTATTATTACTACTACTACTATTATTTTTGCCAGTGTCTTTATTATGGATTTCAGTGGCAGCTACAGCAGGTGCTTTATCACAGAGATTACGCACAAAATTAGTTTTAAAAGCCCTAATTCTTCCTTTATAGGGGTGATGAATTCACTTCCTTATTAGAGAGAGTTCATTTCATCTGAATTATGGTAACCAGGTAGATGCCTAGAAATTTGCCTTAAGTTTATCAACCAGGTTATTTAGTTGAGTCAGTCCGAATTCTACAGTCCCAGTTTTCATGTTTTGAGTAACCCTTATGTTTGACAGCTCCCCTCAACAAAATGGGTTAGTGAAGGCTAGAAAGTAATGCTAAATGTTTCCAAGATTTTCCACTGCAAATATCATCTGTTCCCACTTGACTGTATGGTAGCTGTTCTGTAAAGTTAAAGGACTCCTATAGTCAATAACTCCAAAAATGTCCTTTCCTAATTCACACGGCCCACTTCTCTGAGTTATACAGCTCTTATAGCAGATCAGATGACGTGTGCTCCTTACACTCATCCTTACTATTTATTTTTTCCTTTTAAAGAAAAAAAAGGGGAGAAAATAATGCTGAATAAATACATTTTGCCTTTTTAAAATGTGGCCATAAAAATAGGCAGTAATAGGAAATTCTCTGAATAAATCATCCCCAAAGAGCTGATAGCATGAATCCCTGAAGGTTGGTTTCTGGAATTGCCTGCCTGTGTTAGTTCTGGATCCTACTAGGTCATCAATATTCCTCTGAAACTTGATCACAGTGGGCCTGATTCTACCGTCACTTAAGGCCCAGTCCAACACTCACTGAAGTCTAGGGAAGGACTTCCATTGTCTCCTACAAATTTTGGATCAAGCCCTTTATCATGTTTTACTCCTGATTTACACCAGAGTAAGCAAGAGAAGAATCAGCCCCTTCATGTTGGAGAGTTAGCAAATAATGAAATGATGGCAATTACTGTACATAACACACATTTTCCTGCTTACATTTTACCAGTTCTCCATCTAAGAGATTTATAGCACATTGGTGATTGTGTAAATGTTCTCTGACATTAATAATGAGTCTATAATAGCTTTTTATGTTGATATCTTTACAGCTTATTTTGACAGTAGAAATCACAAACGTGTTCTTTGCTAACTGTGCATAGTTTGGGACCCTTGTAATTCTTCCTGGTTTTGTGTTGACTTCCTTGTCGAGCTGTGGAGCAATGACACTACAAAGCAATAGGAGAATAAGCAGTATGTGTATACTGAATTCAGCTATTCTGTATTTTTTTCCCTAGATACTTATGGGCCATTGGTAAAAACGTTTGGAAGAGATGGAAGAAAAGGTTCTTTGTGCTGGTCCAGGTAACATTTCAGCTAAAAATTAGTGTTAAATTTAAGACTGATCGGTGGATTTAAGTTTGTTTTCATAATCATTTGAATTTTAACACTAATTGGTGGTATTGTTAAATCTGTTCTCATAATAATCTGAAATTTTTATAAAACATTTTCTAAAGTATCATTTGGGCAGCCGTGGGGTTCTCAACTTTGTCACAGAGCAAAGGTTCCAAAGGAAAATAGCCTCTTGAAGACACGTCCGCTTGCAACCTCCAAATCCAAATCCATAGCATTCCTGCAGCTCCCGTGGTGCTTGGTAACATGAGGAAGTAATATTAGGGCAGGATAAGATACTGTGATTTGTGCTGTTGGGTGCAGATTCTCCATTTTGTACCTGTGGGATGAAATTCTGGCTCCTCTGAAGTCAACGGAAACTTTGCCATTGTCAGCCATGGGGCTCACATTTCACCCAGGTGTTTATCTCCTCTCCCTGCGTTTGAGCCATCACAGTTATCAGTACTGAACATCCTGTCATTCAGCCCTTACTGGTCACTGTGCAATGTCTTTCTTTCTTCCTATACTTTTTTTTTTTACCCCTCCACTTTTAGTGTCATCTGTAAGTTCAGTCATGGTTGAGTTTCGTTCAAAGAAACCAAAAAAACAAAAACAAACCAGGCAGAAAGCAGGCGCCACCCTGCAGAGACTTGTTTGGGTTTTTTGTTAAGTGAGTTGGTCCAGAAAGTACCCTGTAAACTCTAGAAAAGTCTTGGTCTGGGCAACAGCTGGGTAGGAAGGGTGTCTTCTTGGAGTGTTTGATCCTTCACCACTGTCAGAGAAGCAGTTCCATTGACCATCTGGAAATGCTGTATAAACCAGCCGTGGTCTGTCAGTCACAGCTTCGGGACTCTATCCACTCTGGCTAGACAAAGCAGCTGGAAACCTAGCAGATCCAGCTCCACTGATGATTCCCCCAGTGGAGAGGACATGTCTAATAAAAATGAAGTGTGGCCAGGGTGGATTTGGGGTGTAGCCATGTCCATGTGTTGCCTTTGGAGCTGTCGTCAGGTGTAAGGACAGCCCTGAAGTGAACCACTAAGGTAGAAAAAAGCTATCCTGGGCAATGGTCCTGTGCTGAGAACAGCTTGGCTAGACCAGAGAATCCATGCCAGAGAGAGAGAGAGAATGTAAGGCCTGATTCTGATTTCATTTACACCAGTGCAGATCAGGAGTAATCAAGTTAATGGGTGTAATCTTGCTCCCATTGAAGTCAATGGCAAACTTTCAGTAGGGTTAGGATTGCACTCCATGTGTGAAACTGTTGGATTTGATTCTCATTTTGCACAAAGTTTCAAATTTCAGTCTGAATTCCATTGCCTTTGCTGCTTGACTTAACACTCGTTAAGGAGGGGACAATGGATTACAACTTCCATGTCATACAGCTCACTCTTTATGTGTATAAATCTTAATTTATAAAGAGGTCATTCTGCTTTGGTACTATTCAATATTTTCATTAGTAACTTGGATAATGGAGTGAAGAGTATGCTCATAAAATTTGCGGACCAAGCTGGGAGGGGTTGCAAGCATTCTGGTGGAAAAGAGTAGAATTCAAAATGACCTTAACAAATTGGAGAAATGTTCTGAATTCAACAAGATGAAATTCAGTAACGATAAAAGGGCAAAGTACTTCACATAAGAAGGAAAAATCAAATGCACAATTACAAAATGGTGAATAACTGGCTAGGTGGTATTATTGCTGAAAAGGATCTGGGGGTTGTAGTGGACCAAAAATTGAATGAGTCAACAATGTGACGCAGTTGCAAAGCAGGATAATATAATTCTGGGGTGTGTTAACAGGAGTGTCATATGTAAAACACGGGTGATAAAAGTCCTGCTCTACTCGGCAACGGTGAGGCCTCAGCTGAAGTACAGTGTCCAGTTCTGGGCCCACACTTTAAGAACAATGTGGACATATTGGAGAGAGTCCAGAGAAGAGCAACAAAAGTGATAAAAGGTTTAGAAAACCTGACCTCTGAGGGGAGGTTAAAAAACCGGACATGTTTAGTCTTGAGAAAAGAAGGGGGAACCTGATAACAGTCTTCAAATATGTTAAGGGCTGTTAAGAAGAGGATGGTGGTCAGTTGTTCTCCATGTCCACTGAAGGTAGGACAAGAAGTAGTGGTCTCAATGTACACCAAGGGAGATTTAGGAAACACTTCCTAATTCTAAGTTCTGGAATAGGCTTCTGAGGGAGGTTGTGGAATCGCTGTCACCGGAGGTTTTTAAGAACAAGTTTGGCGAAACACCTGATTCTGCCTCAGCACAAAGGGCTGGACTTGATGACTTTTCGAGATCCCGTCCAGCCCTACATTGATATGATTCTATGGCACATTGTTAAAAATGCCAGTTTACACCACAGCCAGTGGAACTGCACCAGTGTTAAACCAGCAGTGAGAGGATTGCTTAGCATTGTCACTGTAGACAAAGCGCAATTGGTTTCGATGGTAATTGGGAGCCCTTGGTATCTTGCAGGAGGCCCTCAGCTTGTCACAGGCCTAGGCTCTCGGAAACTAAACCTTAAACTGTTTCAGGCTTAATTACTGATAAAGGAAACTACTATGTCAAGGCATTTGGGGAGAAAACAAAGCATTATTAATGACCCTTTATGTGCAGAAGACACAGAAACACATGCATAGATAATCTGATGCTAAATATTTTACGGTGCTATTTTCTTTATTATATTCTGTGTCTGAATTAACAACCATATGGCAATATAATTGGCAATGAAACTGGCAATTGGATTATCCTTTAGCATTGAATTATAGTTATCAATTCAAACTTTGTCTCTTCTTTTCTTGTGCACTGGAATTCTCCAAACCAGAAGCCTTACTCAGAGAAGTAGCTCTTAATCCAGGGACTCTCTCTCCTTCATTGCAGGGTCCTCTGGGGAGGTTCCTTTGGCATTGCTTGGAAAGCAAGGTCTGGGCATAACTAGAAATAAATAAATGAAGAATAATTGTGAATAAGCTTTTGCAGGGTTGGACCCTAATCTCCCCATCTAATGAGAAAAGCCAATCCCATTTGTCTCACACAGAGTCCTTATTCTGATCCTTTCCACATTATTATAATTATTTGTATGGGTTTGGATTTTGTGCATTCCTTAGCATGAGTCTCACTACTAATCATATATGCGAGCATCCCATATGTGAGAGCATGGTGTTAAACACATGAAGCCAGGCCACATTTTCGAATGATACTAGGTCTTTATTCTTCAAATGGTGTGAGTAAGATCATCATTTGGCCTAGTGGGACAGTTCGCTTGAGTAAAGCAAGCAGGATTTAGCCACTGAGAAAATTGCACTTCTATAGTCCGCATCAGAAATTCCAGCTGCCATAACAACTGCTCTGTTATGTCACTTTGTTAATGTGAAATGTTCTGCTGTATGTCAAATATAAACAACAAATGCACTCTGTCCTGTCCCTTAGATGTAGCTCAGGCCCATTGAACTTGTCAGCAGGCAATAAAGATTGAATAAAAATATTTTGATCTCCGTATGTTTGTCATTTGCTTTTCATGGGATGCTAAGGATGGCTGCTGGTATTAACACTGACTGGAAGCAAAGGCACTGGTGCCTGTAATTCACTGGATTCTGCTAAATGTACTGAGCGTGATAATGGTTAATTATATAGAGAATGAAGGATGGGGAGCGGTGATGCATGAGGCTAGACACCTGTGGTGGAGTTCTGCGGAGTCTCCAGAACCAAGAGATGGAATTCGAAACATACCCGCGTCTTGTGGTACAACATCTAGATAGGATGGGTCTTATGTACCATATATACGTTGGGGGAGAGGGAGAGGTGTTCTGTCTTCCCGGTTATAGTTAGCCATGTGGGGAGGATTAGACTTTATATCTGAGTTTATGTCTGTGGGTTGTAATTGTAATGTTTCTAAAGGACTCCAAAAGAAGGATAGGGGAGCTTTTAGGCAGTGGTCCTGCCGTTGGATCAGCATGGGTGCAAGGAGCTGCCTGTTTGGCTGCAACTACCATGCCCAGTTGTGGCATTTTTGAATTTTATATAAATCTGAACGAATCAATAAACGTGGTTGCCTTCTCTTCTTCTGTCCTCTCCCTTTCCTCCCCCCCACTTTGCTCCTTCTTTTGCTTCTCCTCTCCCCTCCGTTCAAGTCCAGTGTATGCTCCCAGTACAGCTTCAGCCCCACCATAAGTAATTTTTGCTGTGGGGTCTGAGAGCAGTTAAGTTTTTCCCTCTCCATTTGGAGGGGAGAGCAAATCCTAGGCATGTCGTCACAGGAGAAATTCACAGGGGTGATATTGCTGCCATGTATTAGCCCTTTGTTCATAGATTGCAAGTATTTATTAGAGTACTTGATGCACATCTGGAATGTTTTATATGGGATAAAAAGTGGCTTCCATTCGAGTAATGGGATATTGCACAAGAAGCCAGAAGGAGATGCTTTCCAGGAGGCAAGTCCGCTTTTAGTTGTCTTCAGTGTGAAAGTGCAGTTATGATTTTACTCACATTTAAAAATGTGAGAGGAGAGTAATAATTCATTTATAGTTTGGCTAAAACAATCATTTTCATTTTTTACTGGGGCTCTCTGTGTATAAGTGCTCAGATATTACAGTGATGAGGGCTATGAAAGTACCTAAATGGATGGATAGATAAATGATTAGCTGGTGTGTAGAGGAGAAATGGTTCCTTTGCTCAATTTCTATGTTTTGTGTATTGTGCTCGCTAATATACACTCCCTTTCTGCATGCAGGTGTGTGTCACTACGTGTCTCACAAAACAGTCTCCTGTACTTGCTCTGCTAACACACCACCGTGTATTAGAGGACAGGATTGAATCCAATAGATACAATTTTCTCTTGAGTGTGTCGCCCACCTCCCTTATAGCATGTGCCACCCTTTGAGATGAGCAGCAGAAGAGCAGAATACTGATTAGATGTAAATTACATGGCAGAGACTCGTTACTTGCCTCATTTAAAATTCCAAGATATGCAGTGT